TGATGTCTAAGGACCTGCCTCAGAGACACACACACACACTTGTGTTAGACACAGATATGTCAAGCATCACATCTTGTTTACACACACACACACGTGTTAGATAAAGGTGTGTCAAGTAATTTTGTTTGTACCCAAAATGATATTATATCTTTGAAGTTGAGCCAAGTCCATTTTTTGGGTTATAACCATGCGTCTATGCTTGTTACCACAACTTTTCATATTTTAAAATTCTTTTGCAAAAAACCTAGCCCCATTTACAAAAATCGCCTTAAAAGCACCAGTGCTCAAGAAGGGATTTGTCCATCTGGTTTTCATTCATTCTCGCGCCAGCTCGGAGATATAGAACATCCAGTACGTTATTCTGCTTGTAGTTATGTCCTTGCAAAGCCTCTGCGTATCTGTGCTGCTCTTTATATTTCAGCACACCCCGAGCTCAGTTTTGCAAGCATCGACCGGGGCTCCGACGTTCGGACTTCCCTCATGGCCAGGTGCAGCACCCATCGCGGCAGAGAGATTGTTGTGGGGGCTCAGGCTAGAGAGGTTAAGCGATGTCTGGTCAACTGACTCTGCCTGCTCATCCGGTAATTACACTTCACTCTCAACCCCGAAGAGCACGACGAGAAGGGCATGTCGAAGAGCAGTGCATCTGGGTGGCTGACTACAGTGGCGGTTTGAGCAGAGACGCAGCAGGGTCTCTACGGCTCCATGCTTCGCAGTTCATAGGCTAGACTGCTGAATCCCCGGGGGAGAATTCTCTGGCGGTCCCATTGCGATCTAAAGTCCAGCTCGAGGCGGCGATGCAGCACACTTTTTGCTCCACATGCTGGGCACACTTCGCAAGTCTGAGGCCTCGATGCCCGAAAAAAACCTGAAAATTTGTTGCTGGATCGTACTTCAATGGTGCTTGAGCCGTTCCTGCCTTCTTAGCCTCAATCCTACAAACAAAGCGAGGAAGGTCCTTGAAGTACCCAGCGCTGACATTAACAGCAGCATATGGAATATCTCGAAACAGTGTCCATGTAGGATCTGGACGCTAGACAGGTCTTGTGACTGGATGGTTCGGAGGTCTTGTGATTGGATGGTTCGGAGTGGCTTCAGATGTCTTCAGGTCTGATCTGTAGAGGCATGTCGCATTTATGTTCACTCAGGGTCCAAATTCCATGTCCGTTCGCATCCTCTTCGCCGTTACATCGGCATCAGACATAGGTCGTGCTCAAAACTCGGCACTAGCAGCAGTTCGAACGGAGAGCAGGCTGGACATTCTTAACACCATGTTATGTGAACACGTCCGCAAAAACTCAAGCAAAACGACAAGCACCATGTCCTTAACTCGAGAATAAGCCAACATCTTCCGGCGATCAGAAGTTGATGTCGTAAGCAGATCGAACATAGCATACCTGCGAAGTTTGGGAGGTCAGGCTTGTTGAAGGGGCTTGACGCTTCTGAACTGACTCATAAGGCTCTGGAGGCCACTCCCGTGTCCTGACGGCACGACTAGGTTAACTTCGAGGCGTGGTGAAAGCATCGGTAGGCACTGTCGCGGTTGCGACTCGCGGAACTGCGAACCCGGTATATGGGTAGTTCTCTAAAGTAGGGTCCCTTTTAGGTCCTTTTTATAAGGGTTGCCGTACTATATTGGGGACCTAAAGCGGGACCCTACTTTAGAGAAGAACCACCCTTCATGAACGAATCCTGTGCAACGCTTGATCCAGAAAAATCAATCCCAGGCTGGACGGAGGATTCGGGAACCCCTTTAGACACCCGAGAAAGCCGGGTCGGGGCCACAGAGGACCAAATCAGGTGGAGGCTTGTGTGACAAGCCACTTGAACATCGCATGTCCTTTCCGGATCCACAAATTGAGTGAGTCTCATGATGATCGACAACAGCCAAACTTAAAACTCGAAATAGACCATCCGAAAACTTCACCACCTTCTGCAATCGTTGCACCTTGCCCTCCTCGTTCAACTCGTAGTAGCTGACGCCACGCGGGGACATACGCGAGTTGAACTGCATCAAGGCGGGTGACAAGTCGCCAGCCAGTCTCTACAGCAAGGCCTGTGTTCAGACCCAGCACCTCAACCCAACTGGAAAATACAAATATGCAGGTCCACAAATCCAATCTGCGAACTCGCAGCATTATGTCGACCAGGGAGTTTGTGCAGCTCAAGTGCACATAGCGCGCCTCTACGTGCCACAGAACTGTGCAGGCCTGACAGTGACAGTTGCAGAAGGCCGGGCACTTGTTTGCGGAGGTGTGGGCAAACATATGCAGCGGGACTATCTTAGAAGCTTCCACGAACCTGAAGGCGATCAAGGTGTAGAGCAACTCTGCAACAGGTGCATCTAATAGTACTGGTCTCTAGAAGAAGGTTGGCAGCGTTGAATATCTGCTGCCCCGAGTGATGTCGACGCATGTCGAACTACAAACGAGCAGGTCAAACCACGATGCGCGGGCACCTTGTCGCCATCAGTGACCTCATCCAAGAAAAACCTGCAAGCTGCACGTGACCTCTGCATGGCTTACACTGGTAAACTCGACTATAAATTCCTAGTGCAAGCGGTCAGCCTCAGATTGTCAGGCGTGCTGTCTTTGGTCTCCTGCTGATACCTCGCATGGCACGGAAGGTCAATCAGAAGCTGTTCTGTCCAACAGTTTACTGGTCCCATGTCGTATGATACAGCTAGTGAGACAAGCATGGGCAGCTGCACCACAGAAATTACTCGCCTCTTCACTTCCTCGAAGCCCACGAAGGCTTCCTGCTCGCGCGACAGGTCCTGCAGATCATCCGGACTCGCCGAAGCAGGCATGCAAGGGAGAGCACGAGACCTGTGAATGAAGCCAGGTCTTGGCAGTTCGAATGGCTGCAAACAGTGCGCGTGGGACAAGCTGCAGCGTGAGCAACGGAAAGAGTGCAGGCCTACCGGTTGTATATGCAAGCAATTTCTTACTGAATGGCCTTGCAACTCGACAGATGCATGCATCCCAAAGGATCTGTCATGCATTCCAAGATGCGTCCTCGTATACGCAGTCCTCGCTGAACTCTGCCATTATGCGTCCAACAGGATCTACCTGCAGGAGAGCAAAATGCCAGAGTGGCACGTTTCGGGGGCGTCTGACAGCATCTGAGCAAATCTGCTCGGAAGCCAAACTTCAAGCTTGCGGTAGCTTGCACTGATCTCGATCTTGCTTCCTCCCGTAATGCCGTAACCTGTGGTGAAACTGGACAAGTGCGCCGTGTCTGACTGCCGTCAGCAGCTCGACAGAGAGATGTAACTACAGCTTTGTATCCCCACGTGCTCTCCAACTGCACATGAATTTGTTTCCATGCCTCTGCACTTGCTGGAAACGGCCGCACTGGCGCTACTAGGACCACTGCCGCATTTTCACGGCCGTTTTGTACAACAGGCAGATGGAGGTGTCCAGAGCTTTCAATAGATGACGGCACGCCATATCGTGACAAGTGGTGCACAACATGATGACGGACACTGGTGAGATGTACTGGCGGTCATTCCAAGTCGGGCGCAATGCCATCAGCTCCGAAGAAGTCTCCACCAAGTACGTCCTGTAACATCATCCGGACATCCGGGCCCTTGCTTTGCGTCGGTTCAGTTCACTGTCGGGCAGTCCAAGTTGCGATCCCTTCAGCCATGCCAGTTGCACAGCAGAAACACGTGCCCGTCCTTGAGAGAAACCTCTTCTTTCCCCAGCCTCTCCATGGAGCACAGGAGTCATATGGGGGTTTCCGAAAACAAGGGACCCTAACATAGTACCCTAAATAGTAGGATCCTTATCATAAGGACCCCAAATTAAGGTACCCCTTATTTCTGGAAACTGCCATACTTCTCTGGGTGGCAGGGACCGGCCTCTCCTTGTTTTCCCTGGCTTCTTGTCTCCTGCCCAAGGCAAAGCAAAGGAGCCTCTTTACAGCAGAGGCTAGCATGCAGGGCACATGGTTACCATGATATGGGCCAGGCTGTCTTTTCCGCATCCTGCCTGTGCACTCCCTGGGTAGAAATCAGATGGATCACCAGCTGAAAGTAGGTTGACAAAGCCAATGGATGTGGCAGGCCAGGAACCCCAAACCTTCACTCCTACATGCAAACATTTTGACGGATTCGCTTTCCCCTCCGTCGGAACTCAACACCGGCAGCCTTCCGACCCGGAACAACGGGACGGCTGGAAACTCTGCTCCGGAAGCAGCAAAAAACCGTGGCCTTGTGCGACGCTCCTCGCGGGCTGCGCGCGTGGCTTCCCGCCGCGCGCGGCGGGCCTGAGCAGCTCATGTATACAAAAACATGACCATGCAGCTCTGAATGCGAACAGCACACCCCCCCTCCGCGGCCCTTCGGCTCAAAACGACCTGCGGCTATTTTCCTCCGGTAAGACAAAGGCTTCCAAGTCTTTGCGCATGCCGGCATCCACAGGCAAGTAGTCCAGCCTCAGAGTCTGCATGAGGTAAGGGATGTGTGGTCGAAGCCGCTATCTCGTCAGTTCTCACCCCCCCCAGCTTGAAACATTACAGCCTGTGAGTCTTCGCTGCCTCCCTTTGACCTGTTTTGCCTCAGACTTCGCATGCGGACATGGCTTGCGCCCCCGCTTGCTACTGGCGCAACGAACTGCGCAAACCGAGAACTCTTGCAAAGGGTTGCTGGCATGCACTTCGTGGACTTATTCTCAATACTCCCACGAGAGGTAATCGTGCATAACGTCCGTCAATTGGTGACCAGAGGGCTGTCGATTTCGAACAGCTTCTCACAGGGTCTTACATAATGCCACCAAGGCCGGAAGACCCAACCTGCGGCCTGCTACCAAGCGACCTTTACCTTGATTTCACTCAAACCCCCAACATGTAAAGCCCAAATCCTACACTATACAGCCCGAAACCTAGCTAACCCCGAATTTGAGTCTTCGAAAGGCCTGCATGCCAAAATCACCTATTGCAACTCTCGGACCCGACCCGGGTATCCATTCACCCCAAAAGCTCGGCAAGCCCCAAACCCTGGCCCTGAACTGCAGAACACACCAACAGCAGCCCACAACTCGCAATTCCTAACCTCCCTGCAGCTCCTGGGCTCAAGACGCTTTACGCTCCAAGATGGGCCTCGGATGTTGGTCTTCGGTGTGCTTCTACGTGACAGTTCATGGGCAGCTAGAAGTTAGAAGTAGGATTGCAATCAGGCTGACAACAACAACAACAACAACGGACCGTGGTCATACTCCCTAGCGAAGGTATGCCATAGTGCATCTCAGGTCGTGCTTGTGAGTTTCATCTACGTCTCGCCAACTGTTGCCCCGAATATCACGCTACTAAGCACACGGCCTTTTCTAGGATATATATATATATATAGATTGGTAGTTCTATTTGACCATTATGTAGTAGTGTGTATATGTATATATATATATATGCACATATATATATATGTATACATATAGTACATGGTGCTAGGTGTCTGCGGTAGGAAAGCTATTCAATCGGGGATAACCGTAACAAGTTAGACACGAGGCCCCACATTTCAAGAGCACCCAAAACCCTCAGCCCTGAACATCCTAAAGTCCTAAAGCATGCAAGCCCTAAGCTTGACACCAACCCGAAACCAAATTCCCTGCAGTGTACAGCGCATACCGTGCAACGTTAATGCTGAACTCTGACGCTGCGCAAACCCGAAGCCCCTTCCCGACTACCCTACTACTCTCTTCATTTTGCTGTTGCCATGACGACTTCTGAACCAAAATCAACATCACTACTGTCCTAAGTATCCGTAGATGAATTGCAGCCTCGGCACGCGGGCTGCTTCCTTCGTCGAGCTTTGGACTTGACCGCGGCCTTCCTTGGCCACGCAATTTCAGGGGTTGCGCGAAGCTGTTTATAGACGGGCTCCTTTACACATGGTAATCATTGTAGGATGTTATTTTCCGGATTGCCTTGGACACTGTTAGGCCTTGTTCGGTAACTACCCGTGAAGCTTCAACTTGGGCCTGGGGCTGTAGACCTCTGCAGACTTGCCGGTTGCTGCCATTCTGAGACATATCAACGTCTGTTCAGCATCAACCGGTCAACGAAGAGCCTGTCAGGAGCGCCTCGTTCCTGAATCCCTAGCTTAGACTCTCACCCTGCAGCCCTAAATCCGGAAATCCGAGAGCCTCAAAAGTGAAGCCATAAAACTGTACCAATCCAAGTCTCACCCGGCTAGCAATACCGTCACCACCTGCCAAGAACTCGGCCCTCGACAGAAGCAGCTTGGACCCTCACTTGGCTGCTTTCAGCTTCTTGATCTCATCTTCAATCTCTGCCTCAACGCACTTAGGTTGTTGCTCTGAACTGAGGCCCTGTTTTGGCACCCTGAATAGGAAAGAATACGGAGAACATGGACCATAGTCGAGTCTAGCACAGCCCAGTCTCCGGTTCAGGACACAAGAACTCGCGAGACGCCCTGATGAGGCGGACTTCGTGTTAGAAGAGCACACGTACCCCTCGCCTCCTCACGAATCGATGAAGAGTCAAACATCAGTGCAAGCGGAGTGAACTAATCAGCCCGTTAGAACCTGATACTGTTGATGGTCGAAATCCTGCATTACCTTAACTAAGGGCCCTAAACTATGAGAATTATGGTATATTCCTTGTTATGGGTAATGCAGGATTTATCTCATCAACCGTAGCACAGGATGCAAAACATCACCGGCCTTTGTCTTTTGGACGGCTTTCTCGGCCCTGCAGTGTCATGCGCTAGACGGTGACCATAAGTTTCAGCCCACTAAATCCATGTCCAACTCATGATGTACTCAGCGATGCACGTCACCACGGTTTTCCCGCGCTTCTTTGCAACTTTGAACTGCACCTGACAATCGCAAGAAGTATTGCATTGCACTTCAGACTGCATCGTTTGCAACAGCGCGAGCTCATATACGCTAAGTAAGGACGTGCTGTCCGTGTCTATGGTCACGTATGCGCAGACTCCAAAGATGTTCCTTGCTACTTACTGCCACAAAACTCATGGAGCTTTAGCGCAGATAGTGGTTCGGACATAGATGACACTAAAAGGGCACCGGCCCGAAGTGCTGAGACATCACATGCAACCCCCTTCGAAGCCCTCGCCTTGTTCAGGTCGAGCTTCTTGTTGTGCCGCTTCCTCTTGCCACCCCTGTCCAGCTGGGGATGCAAGTGGATTCCTGAGTACTCCCTGCTTTCGGTGCTCTGAGTCTTGAGTTCAGGGTGGTTCATTCCCTGCTGGCGTGACTTCTTGACGTGTCCGATCTGGAAACACATTTCAGGAACTCTACTGCCCACGGCTGCGATCCAGATCCCGTCAACGAGTTGGCATTGACTAAAGGGCCCTACCAGACCGTCGCAAAAATTCTGATCAACCAACCTCGTTAAGGCTATCGTTTCTACATGGACGCTTCTGCACAGAGGCGGGGCAGGGCGAGCCTCATGGCGGGTGGCGAGCAGCCTAGATACAACCCGAACTCTTGCTTATCTACTATGTTTCTGTTCCGGAATACGGCTTTATCCGCACCCACACATAAAACTGCAAGTAATAGGTGTGTAGGACTTCAGGGGAACCGGGCTCCAAACTCAGATGCTCGTCAAGGGTAGGGCTCAGACTCCAAGTTCGTGCAACCCTTTAGCCTTTCCGGTGCGGGTTTTGGTTACAACTTACAGAGAGAACTCAAGCCTTGAACCAAAGCTGAGCGCATAAATCCGTGGTTGAAACATGTTGAGACTTTGGCGAGCAACAAGAACCCTGCAAGTAGGGCAACAGAACTTGATCAGCAAAGGACTTCACAAAATATCAAGGGCCGTTGTGTGATCAGAGAATCGCAGTCATCCGGAAGGCTCTTCATGCGTCCGACATGAGCGAACCATGGCACGAGGGAGTGCGGCGCATGCCAGGCTTAAGTTGAAGCGCCTGGTCCCACTGTGCTTCCTCCCACAGGTACTTCACCACGTCCACTGCGCGACGGGAACGGGGCGCCTGCCCGCTGAGACGTCTCGCTTGTAGGAAGGTACGCTTTAGGACATCGGACCCAAAGAACCCAAAGTCCGAAATACTTAGAAAGAGGTTTCTTCAAGAGTGCAACGAGGTCGGCAGGTTTGATGACCTCCCTTCTCATGTTAACCATCAACTGCAACAAGCCGGGGTTTGCGGTTCCATCCATTTTCTAACTTCTCATGGTTTTTCTTATGGCCGGCCCTGTTCTCCACGGCGCATGGTGCAGGAGAAGGCCCTGAACCGCGAGCCATTCCACTCTGCAGAGGAGGAAGCCTCCAGGCCGTTCAGCGGCTGTGCGGGCTCCTTGAAGTCCTGCGGCCGCCAGCTTTTCAGACTCTATATGGGTGGTTGTCCACATTGGGGCCTCTTCTGGGCTGCGAAACTATAGGGTGCCGTATTACGAACCGAGTTATTCAGAGGAACCACGATTTTGACTGTTGGTTGAGCTCGGACTCTTCAGGACAGTCTTCCACTCACTTCAGATTCATCTAGAATCTAATTAGAACCTATCTAGACTGTGAGCGTGATCACTCAACCTCTGGCCTCCGGCTTCGGGACTCAAGGCCCTGAACCGCCGGACCCTCGCGCGAAGGCACTGCAGCCCATAAGCCGTGACACAGACACACGGAGAAATGCAGCCAAGCGCGCGACAATCATCCCCCGAAGCTTTGACCGTATGAAAGAGCCCTGAACACTGGACCCAGAGTCAAGAAGAGCCTCAGCAATTCGAAGGTTGCAAAGGCTTTGTTTTCAGATGTCTGCAGGAGCCGGGCCATGCAGACGGTATATGTTGCCATAGCAACTATTAGGACGGTAGTCTACACTTGGAGGTTCATGGACAGTCATACGTACGGTTGAGAGTTCTACGTCTCAGTACAGGTTCACGTAGCCTCAGAGAGCAAGGACACCGGCATGTACCCAACTCTAGTCCATACTTATGACTGCACATCAGCCTCCGAGTATTTTGATGTCGGGGTATGCAGGCTTGGTCCTGTACACTTTGTGCATGCCCGACAAACTCAACTTCCAATTTTCTCTACATCTCACTTGCGGTGAAACCGGGAACACTGTCATTTGCGGAGGGGCATCCGCCCTCCGATCCTTCGCAATGCGGTGTCGTAATTCTGGAGGTGAAACTGCAAATGAGCTCAAACCCGAAATCTGGATCTGCTCTGTATGGATGCATCTCCACACGGATTCGATTAGGAGCCCATTGTGACCTTGGGTAGATCGAACTTGCATCATTAATGGTTGATGGCTCGGAACACTGCACAGGCTTAGATTTCATAGGCTAGGCTTACAACCGTCTGCCGAAATCAGGAGAAGAGGGGTCTATGCTTGCGTTATTTGCCCCCTTTTTGCTGCCAGGTCTCCGTAACTCCGACATTTTGAATCACGCAGGCAAAATGACCCACGTTCAGCTTCACCTCAATGCCAGGGGACATAACTTCTGTGGACGGAGCCTTCGTGTGCCTGCTCGGGGACCGCAGCAACTGTGTGCATGTGCAAAAACTTAAGAGCCGACGACTCGCTTCGAAGGACACGACGTTGCAAAGGGTTCTAGGGGTTTAGGGTTAAGGGTTTAGGGGGTTAGCGTTTAGGGAGCCAGCCTTCTAGCATCAACAGCGCGCACGAATTCTCAAAAGAATCCACTGCGGAGGAGTGGCCGGCTTTGCAGAAAGCTGATTTGCTTGTGCGAGCCTCTTCCTGGCATCAGGAGGGACGCTTTCGAAATGAGTTGCTGGATACCCTTAGCCCCAAGCATCGCAAAATCCTCTACAACACTATTGCTCAAGCAATTCTGTCACCGAGCACGACAGTCAGATGAAAACACGGACGGGCTTAGCAGTGCATTCCTCCGATAAGGAACTAGAGACTCAGGCCCGCATGAGCCGGCCACAGTTACATCTGTCGCTCTCTCTTTGCATTCGGGAAAGAACCGTGGTTGCAACCAGAGAGCCCGTAGTGGAACTCGGCAGTGGAGTCTGGCTCCATGGGCATGTAGCCAGAAGCGACCTTTCATGCCAGGTGCCAGTCCCGAAATCTTACGACCGGTGACTGCCTCGCTTCCTCGCGCGCGGCTGCAAGCCACGATGCAGAATCTCTCATTGCTGGCAGGAGGGCTGTTGCAGCTGAGATACTGTCTCGTACGACCACACCTTGAAAGTGGCGATGCTGTTCCTCGCTTTTCAGGGCAACATCGAACGCAAACCCCAAACCGGAGTCCCCAGGTAGAAGGTGAATGCATGCTCTGCATGTTCCTATCAGCAGTCGGCGATCCTATTGAAATAACTAATGCGCGCTTCTTAACTAGAGTCGCCAACTCGCCGCCACAGTATCCTAAGAAGCATCAGTCAGTATAAGGCTATCTAAACGCAAAAACAACGACAAAAATAACTGTTCATCAAAGTACAAGTTATATAGAGCATGAAGACACCAAGGAAAATACATGCATCAATCGTTATCAACATCGCAACTTAATTCAAACAGTGATGCTGAGAAGAACGGCTGCGAATGAACCTCCAAGTCTCCAAGGTTTTCGGATTAGATTTACTGTTGCTATTACCATTACTATTACTATTACGACTATTACTACTATTACTACTATTACTACTTACTAGAGTAAAACTGTGCCAAGCTGCTCCAGGTCGATTGCCATTTCGATCCAGTCACCCACCTCACACAACAAAAAAAAAAACACGGCGTTCCATGCCTCCACGAACCCATCCCCTACACATCTAGGATTCCCGAAGACCTTGACTATACTATGTCACCCTGACCCGGCCACAACAGCGAAATTTTTAAGCTCTTGTGACCCGTTCTTGCCATTCTGAAACCGGGATCCTAAGCTCCTGTGACCCGTTCTTACCATTCTTAATGCTCAGCGCTTAGCGCCTGCAGCGCCCGCACGTGCTTCTTCGCTTTCAGGATGTCGCCGAAGACACGCATGCAGATTCGCCCGCGCTGATTCACGAAGACTGACACCTCGGGACTGGAGAGCTCTGGAGCTTGGGTTGAAGGGATGAAGGGCGAGCAGGCTCACATAAGTTTGGAGGGTGTGGGTCTTGTAGGCTTTGGGTTGCTGCTCTGAGATCCAGGGCTCGATTTTCCCGATTCAGTACGACTGATACCTCTTGTGTATGCCAGTGATTATGCCAGTCCTGGACCACGGGTGAGTTCAAGGGAAGTACGGTGTACATTGATTGCTTCAGCCCAAATCCTAAAGCCGAAGCGTGACAATATGGGAAAGCGAGAAATGGCACGGGGGCCTGACTGTTCAAGAACCCTGCGAAACGCACAGCCTTGGACAGCAGCTTTTCCAGCCAGGGCACGATCTTTTGAATGTTCTTTGCACACGGCACGCGTGATGCAAACCTCAAAATTGCAGCGGCAGCAGCTTGGATTGCGGGTTTAACGTATTTTCGGACATAGGGTAGGCACAGAATGCAACGCAGAACATGACTGTCACCTCGTATGAACCACTGCGAAGGAATCTGAGATCCTGAAAGTGCTCAAAACGACAGGTGTTTCAAAGCCACCCAGCCCTCCTCAAGACAACCGAGGCCTCACCAAACGAGCTCTGAACAACACGAACCCCAGGAATGCACGTGCCCAAGCCAGGGAGCACGAATCCGACACCATCTGCTTTCGTGAGCTCCCCGTCTGAGAACTGCATCAAATATTTCTGAACCTCGGTTCTGACAGCGTAAAGAGCTAGAAAGCTCGCTTTCGAGTCGGGTTTTGGGTTCAGGTGCTTAAGACACCGACAGCACCTGAAACTCGACAACTTAAACTTGATTCTGCTCGATTCCTCATCCAAACTTCCATTCCTGCACTCCTTATACCCAGATCTCTATTTCTCACCTCAAACCTAGCAGCATGTACTTGAAGCCCCAAAAAACAACCGCAGGAAAGCTGTCAGATCCATCTGAGCTTGGGCACACCACCTCTCTGCACCTCAGACCCGGAGATCACGGACAATCTGCCCTCGTAATCCTCGGCTTCGGGGGACTGAGAGCTATAGTTGCAAGTTCTGATTTCTGGGCTTCTAGGATTCTAGGATGCTGCAAGCCATTGTGGAGTGGTCGCTTGGGGGGGCACTGCTTGGCATGCCTGTCTCACTACTTCACTCTAGCCATCTCAAACCACCTGATTCTCTGAGGGTTGAGGGCTCGTAGCCCGTCAGAGCTCGAGGTGTAGCGGAGGAGCCCAAGTGCATGGTTGACATGGTGCTATGACAAACCCATAACAAAACAAGTGTTCATCCTTTAGGCTATGTTACAGGGATCTTTCAAAGCGGCGGCAGCCGTATTCTTGAGAACCACCAAAAGTCTCAAGACACTCCTACATAACATAGCAGAATTGTGAACTCCCAAGGTCTCTTTCAAAATATCTGCAGCTCAACGATGGCTAAAAAAAGCTTCTCACATGCGTCCTACGCGTCCTCCATCAAGCTGTACACTGAAACCTGTTGCATCCCTGCCCTTGCTACAGCTTACTTACCCCTGCTAACCTGCTATTGTCGTGTTAGCTTCTAAAATTGTGATTCTGGCATTTACCAGACACCCAAAAGCCCTCAATTCCACCAAGCCGGAGCCACCCCGCCGGATCTGACACCCGGCCATACGTCCGAGGCACCTGACCCTTCGTAAATTGTCGGAGATCAGGGCTGGCAAGGCCGAAACCCCGGACCTGCACACATGATGCGTTGATGACAACCCAGACCATCATGACGACAGCATCACCACCGTCACCACCATCATCGCTATATATATATATATGTGTGTGTGTGTGCTATATGTATCTGTATATATATATATATGTGTGTGTATATGTATCTGTATATATATATATATGGCCATAACCATCTGAATCAACGTCTTCCTCCTCCTCATCATCATCGGTGGTCGCAAGCAGCAGTTGCATGACAAGTGCTTGTCTGTAGTCGGGCCGATTGATGGCTTGCGGCAGCGGCTTTCCGAGCCCTCAACTGCCCTAAACTCACCAACATCCGAAACCTATATAGCCGTACATCCACCAGAAATCAAGCGATCCTCAGGCCTGGCTATAGGCAGTTGTAGAACTCTCACTTGAGCTCCACGAACCCAACGCTCCGAGCCTCTTTGTGGAAGCTGTGCACGAGGCCGAAAGCCGGCCCGGTTGAAGGTGCCAGCGTCATCTGCAGGGTTTACCGGTTGCCGTAGGGGGTTGAGGGCTTATAGGGTTTATAGGGTTTAGGGTTTCAGGGTTTGGGGTTTTCGGGCTTTGGGTTTAGTGTGTAAGTGCGATCAGGGTTTACGCCGGGGGCTTCAAGGACCCGAGCTCCTGCTGCTGGGTTCCTTCGGGACTGGTCACATGGTAATGGTTCTGCCGGGTCATGCAGAGTTCTTATACTATAGTACCTTTTTTAACTAGTACCCCATCATGGTGCCCATGATAATGCCTTTTTCATAATACCCCCGCATCCTACCCCCTGATGTTTCAAGCTAGATATTGGTGCCAAGGCCATGCGCTCTGTTGGGGTTCAACAACTCGCAGCTTCAACCCACTCGCAGAGCGCACCTGGTCAGAAGCACCGGGCCAACCTTAGAACTGTGGCTTAAGGGTGCTGTTTAGGATTTACGATTCAGGGGTTCGCGATGGTTCGCGCACGCTTAAGTCTCGAATGTCAGGATTTGGGCCCTGAGTATGAACAGGATGTTTGAGAACTCCCTGATGTAGCCAACAAAATACCGGCAGTCTTGTTACTTTCTTTCAGACGCAAGGGCCCGCAAGTCTGCGAATCTCCCAAGTCTTGCGCGGCCCAGCTGCCAAAGGCAGCCGGCATCTGGTAGCCCTCCTGAGGCATCCCAACCTGAGCTTTTGCATCCTTCCGTTGCTACCCGAACGAAAGAGTGAGGGCTCTGAGTCGTTGGACCTTGGGCTTTCGAACTAACTCGCTGAAAGGTTTCGAGACAAGCCTTGCGCATGGGGGCTTCTGTAGGCCGCAGTACGCGGCGTTGAAAGATTGGGCTTCATGGGGATGTATAAGTCATGCGGCCGAGGGATTTGGGGGAGTTTCAAACAGGGCTTCAGCCTTGGAGTGGCTTGGGGCAAAGTAAAAGATTTTGGAGTCTTGTATAACTTATATCGTATAGTATCCATTCAATAGAATAATGTGTGTATATATATATACACATACTATAATCATACATTAAAACAATATGTGGGGCTTTGGAGTCTTTCGGGACTTGCAAGTTTCCCTTGCCCGAAACCGATGCTCTGCGACTTCGAGCGGCTCTTGCGTCATGGCCGATCGTATAAATCTCCGGCATGGCTCAGGACTCGACGGTATCATTCCCAATGAGATATTACAAGAATCCATCTCAACGCAATCCGGGACAGAAGTGTTTCACGGACTCGAACTATGAGCACTCCGTCCAACCCGTACACACTATAGACTCCTCTCCAATACTTCAGTCGAGACTCTGGGATCATTGGCATCATCGGAGGGACATCTGCGCCCGGCCTCAGAAGTAGCTTACGGTCGTCTTCGGCTTATGACCTGTAGGGAGGGGTCGGGAGATGCAGGGTTAGGCCTTCACGGTCTTGGGGCTCTGATTCCGGGGCGCAGGAGTCTAGGGCTTCGGCAGTGGCTTTGTAATGGGTCTTGGGACGAACCGTGAAACACCTCTCCACTCCATCACCAGCTTCTGGTTAGATGTTAACCCCAATTCGACCGGTAACATCAAGATAAGAGGCATGGGCAGTGACCCTGCGTAGCCGTGAGCTTGGGCAGCAAAATGGTCCCAAGTCTCGAACCTCCGAGCAGCCAAGAAGATTTGACTTGAACTGTGCTAGGGATGGTGCGTAATTCTACGACTGGGCAGAAAGCTGTCGATTGATGAATGCCGGAAGCTCAGATTACAAAAGTTGCACAGGATCGGACCAGATCTTTACAGTCGACACGACATGAACCACACAGAAAGACCGCACTCGCTGGCTCTGTAACTGGAGGGGAAGATGATCTTGGCTATCGTGAAGCGTCATTGCCGTTACTTTCCTTTTCTGAGCCGGTGCATGTACTGGTATCCCGCTGTGAGGATGATGATGACCATGATGCTGCAGATGAGAGCCATGCATCAGTCGTGAAAGCTCGAACCACCCACGGCTTCAACATCGCCACGCCCGAGGCAGCAGCCTCTCCAGCTCCTTGTGCGTCCGCTGTTCGCCTTATCAGGACATTGGCAATCATGCGGCTGGAGCTATTGAGGGCTTTGTTGTTTCTTATATGGTCTGAAGATTTATGCTTTCGGATCTTGTAACATGCCTGCCAGCAAGAGGTCAAGTAGTGGGCAAAGGCTAGCCACACAAAGGAAAACTTGCAGCTGTCGGTCTCAGGGCCGGACCAGACTCGTCCGAATCTGACCTCACAAATGTCATCTGCACGAAAACTCGGGTGCTGCAGAGCCAGCGAGTCCACGGCTGCAAATCCATCAAAATTCACATCCCTGCAAGAATGTGCCCCTCACATGGAAGCAACACGAACTGGAGGGACCCCAAATGAGCTGCGCAGCAGCTGATAGTATACTGTACTAGAAGCATGCCGCAATATTTACTAAGAATTTTCGGCTTGTTGTAACCAAGCTGCTCGGCCGGTGCCTTAGCTGAACGAGCTCGACCCAACGAACTCTTTGAACCGAAGAGCACTGTTACCTATACCTTGATTGTTAGAATAGGTGTTAGGGTAGACTATACTGTAGGGATATGGGCTAGTTGCAGACGTGACAGGAAGCCTGTTCCCAAAAGGACTTGTGCTAAGTATGTCGTGGCCTATACGTTGCACACGGGCCAGGAAGACAACCTTCTCGGTGGATAATTGGGATTCTGCGGCAAGTAGAGTAGCATCATCAGTGACATCACCAAAAACATCACACACTTATGGTTGTCCTTCAACATTGATCTTGGTCGGCCTCTTAATCACTACGATCATCAGCATGACTACCATTGCCATCATCGTCTTCATCATCACATCATCAACCCACCTGTTTCATCACCATTATCTTTCCTTCATCATTATGTTCATCACGATCATCATTGTTCCAGTAAGGAGCATTCCTATTGTGCCACTGTGATGCCTCGGACGAATCTTCCGGCACGGCCGGAACTCTGGGCGCTTGCCTGGAAGGCCAACGTGGCAAACGCACGTTGCTGCCTGCACGTCGCAAGATCTGGGGCGGGGCGAAAGTTTGAATTAGTTGGTTATGCTGACAGAGAGGACCTGAAGTTATTTGGTGTAGCTAGACGATGTGGAAGCTAATTGGCCAAAGGCTAACAGTCAACTCCTACTATGCAGATCACTGCTTCTCCAGTACTGCTTCTCAGGCGTGCCTGAATGTTTGAATGAAGCGCGCCAGCATGCTTACGAAACTACATCTGCTGTCTTAGAGACTCTTGTAGACTTGCGACTTGGAGACAGTTTCAGGAACCCACATTAACCGCTTTCCACTAACAAGGCGCCCCCGCCCAACAGAAACTCGAAATGTGTGTTTCATTATTGGGAACTTGCTCTTGCTCCTGCTCTTGCTCCTGCAAAAGCAGTTCGAAACAGGTTTTAACGGACGGAAACGAGTTCGGGCGTTTCCGACTATGGGGGGGGGTATTTAAAGTTTAATCATGTACGAATACGACAAAATTGGGGGCCCCAGGGCGACGCTTTCTGTTGAGAAAAGGGGGATGCGAGTACAGGATATAAGGAATTCAATTTGGCCTTAGTTGGGCTTACTCCTGAATTCCTGTTAGTGATGTGCTGATTGATGCTTATTTGGTCCCGCAATAGGCTCAAGTATCCTGCCTGAGGGATCAGACTGCGTTCGCGTGGCCGCGAACTGATCGGACTCTGTCCGTCCCATCCCGGTGCCGACCTCTTCATCCACATGGATGAAGGTGTTCCTCGGCAGGCATTACCGTGTGAAATTGTGGTTTGGAAGCTTGCAAAGGTATGTCTTCACAGCGGATAGACACCAGTACACGTATGTGTCAATGTGGCATGTATGTACATGTGATATTCAACCTGCAGATGCCAGTAAACACAACATGCCTATACTCTTTGCCCATGGCTGGCATGACAGTCCGTTAAGACGAACACATGCATGTGTTGATGACCGTGTATATTCTGCTTTCTGATTTCTGGCTTCGGGCATAGAGCCCTACAATATAGGCTTGGAAGATTACTTGACTTTCACCCGCAAAACGTTCGAGCCCCTCCCTACTGCCCCCCCACTCTGGCATAGCGCAGTAGAAGCAAATGCAGTCCAAGGGTGCAACAGGAGTTGAGCTCCGGAACAAGACATAATCGCCTACCCCACCATGGAGATCCCTGGAGTCGTTTGGTAAGTGATTCTGGCCACTGCTTCTGCTGGCAAAGATCACGCGGGGTCTCTCGTACGAAATGTCATGATGTGACGAGCACAGAGACCAAAACGAACTGGCAAATGCAGAAAGATAAGAGTGGTTGAGAGGATCCCAGGGTGACCCTCGACTTGACAGCCCAGGCAGTCAGGAAGGAGGCTTGCGATGCGCCCCAGAAGAAAAACGTTCCGGAAATTACGCACTGAAGTGTTGATTGGTTTCTCCCTGAATGACCTCGCTCCAGTTTTTGCCGAGCGGCTTTACTCGAAAGCCTGGATTGGCTCGAAGGGCCTCCGCATCACATCAAGGATTCAGGGGCAGTGCCTTTCAAGAGGCTTCCAAGACCTCATCGGTTTTCCTAGAGAGGAAGAATTTCTAGGCGACCTCCTTGCAAAGGGGCTTTCTTAGAGTATTCGGATGCCAACTCTGTGGCCCACAATCTGAGAGCTCTCATGTTGTATTGAGCACCGACCACCCGAACAGTCCCCAGAACCGTGGTCCAAAAGTCAAGACGCGAAAGCCAATCCTGCAGACTCCGGCTAAAGGATTTCGGGGCTGCAGGACCCCAAAAGGACTGAGGAGCAAGCACTGTCATCGGCCGCTTCGCCCGATGCAGGTGCAGACCGGCCGTCTTTCACCGTGCTAGTTCTCTGGAGAACCTTGCTCGTGCTTACGAGTCCGAAAGTGTTGGGTTTAGGGTTTAGGGTGTGTGGACATCAACTCGCCCACGCAGCTCGCAGTCGCTTCGAACCACCACTAGCACCGCTTGCCAGATGATGCCAAAGCTGTCTTGAGGCTCGGGCGAAGGAGTCGTCCTCCTCCTCTGAGTCTGAGGCATCGTGCCTTTGCTGTGGTGTGGGCAAGCCAACCAAACGCAACTTAACTCAACCTGTACGAAACCAAACAGAAGCCCTATAGACTACCATTGAGGTGCCAGACATACTCAACTCTGGCGGGTCGCGGAGGTGTCGCCGCGGTCTGCCCTAGATCACCTCTCAGCTCTGTCTTAAACAAAGCGAGCCTCTGGACTCTTGTGGAACATGCTGGTTAAGGAACACAAAGAGACTTCCCAACATACCCCTGAAAAGTATGCTCCCTCTGTGGATGCGTTTGGCGTTCAAGGTCCTGGTCTCTGTCTGGCCTTGGACCGGCGTAACCATGCTGCCAAGCATGGGGCAATGCAGCTTTAGAAGGATCAGCTGGAGCAAAACGGCATTGGGCAGTCTCTTCCAGGTACTTGGCCCGATTACAGAATCAAGGCTCGTGGCTTCAGACGTCCTTGGCGGAAGACACTCCTGGTAGGATAAGGTTTGGGGAAGCCAACCCCCAACAGAACAATTCTATACCTGCATCGGCCTGGAGATGGTCCTTCTTAACACTGAGGCCTTTATTATACCTTCAATGTAAAGTTTTGAAGGATGAAGTTCAAGGCTAGCACATGCTCCTCCTCCTCCTCTTCTTTCTTCTGAATCCCAAATACGATGCACCACAACCCTACATCCTCAAATGCCTGAATCTGCTCTTCTATGTGCATCTCTGGGCCCCGCCCTGTCAAATCTGAACCGGATGATGAAACTTCCCAAGTTTGAGGTAGGGATTTTCAGGGAGCATGTCAGGTTGTTGTGAGTTTCACTGTCACAATGGCCCGTGAGTATGGAAGCCAGATGGAGGTGGATCGAGTGTTTTGCAACTTTACCTCTTCAGCTCGGGGGCACACTACGAAGAGAAACGTGTTTCCGGTATCTTCCAGCTGGCTTCCGAAAAGATTAGGTCTGTGTACCGCTGGACTCCAATCTGCAGAACAACTCTGACAGATATTTCCACTGCACGCAGAGGGCTGAGAATTAGAATAGAACCTCTAGCTTGCTACAGAGATTCGGCTGTGCATGTTGAGTGAGACATGAGCTGCCTGTGCCAGATGCTGGAAGTGCTTGGGGCAATATCAACAAGTATTTTCAGAACTTGACTGCTACGCCGGATCGAAGTTCACAATCAATTCTGTTTGTGCCTGTCCATATCTGCTGGGCAGCCAACAGTGCACTATGAAACACACAAGAATTCCTTCGCCAAGAGGAGCCGAGTTCGCAGCTTGGCCGGCGATTACTGCAACCCTCTCTCCGGCTGTTTGCATTTTCATGAGTGACTTTAGTCGTGACTGCGGAGCGTGGAGAAGTTTCACACAGCTGTATATCTTAAGTGATGCAAACGTCACCACGCCATGCTCAACTACAAATGTGACATGACAGGTCCTGACAGGTCGTGCAAGGTTCGAGGAATTTGTATTGAGTTCCATCAGTCCTACCTTGCAGGCCTTCCACAACCTCTCAGGTCAAGTTCGGCTATCTTGCCTGCCAGCGAGAAGGATTTGCTAAGGCTTCCAATTCACAGTCCAACATCTTGAGTTCTGCGCCTATCCTTCACATGCTCTAATGGGAATGACAGATGAAAACAATACATGTGGCGGCGAGACCGCAACACTGAGTTGGGTTGAGGCGGCTTGCTAGGCCCTTAGGCAGTGTTTTGGTGAAAGCCTTCAGGCACTAGCTCGGAAACTATTAACCCCTGTTCGCAATGAACTGAAGTTCCCAACGAAGGCAGGCTGTTCGACCTCGGTGCGTTATTCCGGTGATGACATACAGGTCTTATGCTCTTCAAAACCTGCCGGCCTGCTTCACAAAGCGAGGACGTCCGGAGTCTGCATACGACCTCTCCGTAGCATAATACATGTCACTTAATAGTAACATGTATCATAAGGCAAGTATAACAGTTTAGCAATGTTGATGCGTTTAAACAAATGGGTAAACACAACAGTATATACAGATATATCAATCTATATATATATATGCACCAGCAAGATCTGCGTTCCAGCTTCGGAGCCAAAGCAGGGTGCCGTTCGGTGACGTGTTGTGTTCAAAGATCAGGAGTCCCGATGCCTGGTAGCATAGGAGCCTTGATACTTCGAAGAGGGCTTTGAACTTGAGGGACACGTATACTATAGCATGATTAAGTATATCTGGACTCTACAGCGATATTGATGTGGGTAATTCTGCCGACCCCATTAACTTTGAGCTGTTTGCCGACTTTGGCAACAGATCCAGCCAGGTTTAGGGTTTAGGGCTTACGGTGCGGCACTGACGTGTCTACAGCCCAGGAGGTCTACGAAGCGACAGGTGCACCAAGAACTCTTCGGCCTCACCATGCACGAGGCCCGTCCAGAGGCGGGGCTTGGCTTAAGGCCCTTGGAAATCTCAACATCTGAACTTCGGAGATCTGAAATGAAAACGAATCTGGAGACACGCTTCAGACCCTAAACCCTAAACCGAATTTGCGTGGCCCGTCGTTGCAAACAAATCTGACAACTCCTTGCACCACGGGTTCTGTCTGAAAAGTCTCAGGCCGAGCCCTTGGATGAAGCCCCTATGTTATGTTACGGGGCCTCAATGAAATTTCAATAGGTTTCTGTGGTATATGATGATCGTATATAGAGATTCCACACAAAACTGCCCAGAGCCCTCCGAATTCCGAGCCAAGTGCTGGATTGCTCTGTCCACGCTGTGGCCAAAGTTGGGGACTCCGTGCTTCCGGCCAATCTCCTGCAGAACGGGGGGGGGGGTTTTGGGGCTTCAAAAACAAACCCTACAAACCCTATATGGCATAGGGTTTAGAATAAACCCTCAACTCTAAACACCTTACAAGCCCTAATCCTGCGATTGTGGTCTAGGATTCTGCGATTTAGGCAGAGCTCAGGGGCTCTTTAGCACCTTACCTTCGTCCTCGAAATCGACAACCATGGCTTCGTGGCTTGTAGTTGAGGCTTCGATATGGGTGAGCGCATGTCAGCCCTGTTAGTGATGCATGCTGAAGAACACCAGCACTAGTCTGCACAGCGCAACAGCAAATCAACAGCCAAATTGCACATCATCTTACAGACTGCCACGGTCAGCTGTCCGTGCGCCATGTCGCTCCTTCGCATCCACTGGAGGAAGTTGGTTCGGTCTGAAAGCCTGGAGCATGCATGTTGGACTCAGGTGGCTTTATGTTCGGAGTCGTCTGGCGTAGACGGCCGCAGTCAGGGCACACACTGGAGCTGCTCGTCAACTGCTGTGAGCTGAATAGCAGCTTGACGCCCGATCCGACTGCTTGAAGGCCAGCGCAAGGTTTGAAACAGCTAGTGTTGGCAGACAATCTTCACAGAATTCGTCGCGGACTAGTTGGGATATGAGGCTACCTGTTCTATTGTTGGGCTATAAGTAACAGCTTGGTAACCTGAATTGGGCAAGGCCGCCCATGGGCTGGAAGTAGAGGACCTCAGGATCAAGCTATGTAGAAATTGAGCAGTCGACCTGTGTCCGAAACTCCCCAGAGTTCAACAACGGCCGAAATAGCCGGCCTTAGATATACATACATACATACATACATACATACATACATACATACATACATACATACACACACATGCATGCATGTATATATGATGTACATATACATATGTACATATATATATACACATATGTGTGCAATATATATATATGTATACACATATGTGTGCAATATATATATATATATGTATATATATATATATCATATCTCTGTCTGTCTTGCGCGTGTATTTCGGGCTAAGGGCCAGGGTTCAGAATCAAGGGAAAGCTTCCCCGCCTCCTGTGTCTTCGTGATGTCCATGCCGTTCTGCCTCACAGCGGAGACTTGAATCATTAGGTAATGGCGGCTTGCTCTCTTTGGAGAGGTCAAGGCGCTGGAACCTTGGGCCAAACATGCGTCCTCCTGTGTTGGGGTACTTTTTGAAGATGCCAGTGCTTCAATCAGGGACGGTGTCAGCTTTTGCTTCCTCCGTTAAAGAGAATCGTTGAGGTACTGTCTGCAAGTTCGGCGTTCCCTGCTCGTGTGAGGGCGTATTGACCGGTGAAGCAGGGATCCATCCTGTAGGGTTTACAAGGATCCCCAAAGTATGTAGAATAATAGCCTTGTTTGGGTTTTGGGGCATTATTTTACCTACTGTTGGGAATTTAGGTATAGGGGTTACAGGGTTTACAGATGTTTACAGTTTGCAGGGTTTACAGTTCCAGGGACAGCCTTGGAAAGAGATTTGCAGGTTTCAGTTTTTGCGCTGCATGTGCCTCTCTATGACTGTCCATTTCCAGAATATCGCCCGTAAGGGCTCTGACTCCGAGCTTTCAACAGCATTCGGGCTTGCATCGTAGAGTCCGGGTGGTTGAAATTCAAGGCCACAGCAAAAGGGCGTAGCCGAAAGCTTCAAGTTTCCCAATCTTTTTTTGGCTCTCTGCCTGTCTATCCGTTTATCTATCTACCAGTGTAGGCACACCATCACGGCACTTGGACCCATAGAAAAATGACACTGGAAGTAATCAGGGACTCGTCATGGACCATATATCAGAATCCCAGCACTGCGGCAGCGACACAGACTTGGGTGCCAGCTGGCCGTGCAGCGCTGGCGCAGACCTGGCATACCTGGCTGATCCGAAGTGCAGGCTGAAAAGTCGCATCCTTGATGTACACTGTCGTCTGAGACACATGCGGCAAAACATCCCATAGCTAGTTTGAAATCGGAGTTCAAGTTGAAGATGTTCGACATTTAGGGGCGATGGTCCAGGATTTGCAATACCCTAGTTAGGGCCAGGGCTGCATCGTCGGAGTTGGAGCGGTAGGATCCACGCTTGGCAACCTGAACCATCTTAAGACAGACGCAAGTATGAACAAATCCGCGGAACTTCTGTATCCAATCCTGGCCCTGCAGAGGGCTTGAACCCCAAGACGCTAAAGCCTAAATCACGAGACACATGTGCTCTGTCGTGGCTGGCATATTGGACGGCCATCATCTGACGGCATAGCCAGAAGGACTCTTCAACTGCTCTCTACCCATCGCCAAGCACGGCAACTCTGTGCTGTCTTAGCAACACTCTGCCAGCTAAGCTCGCGGCTCGACGCCAGGAGGCAATCCCTTGCGGCTCAATGCTGTCTCGACGGGCTGTCTTCGTATGTCTGTATAGATATGCAGGTGCACATGCATACGCCACCTATATATGTATATGCTTATGTGTGATGTAATTATGCAGGACCACGCATGTGAGGTTTGATCGTGTAGTTCATGCCTCAACAATACCTTCATAAATGGTGTGCAAGAAGGAAAAGCTGGCCTGCTCTTCCAGCTGCCTCTTCACGCGATCTTCGGAGTCCTGCTCTATTCGCCTGCATGGCCGCGTCTTGGCCAAAGATTTTCGTTCGGAGGTTCAGAGCCTTTCATGCTTTGGGCGCCTGAGTTTCGGGCTGAAATTGAAAGTTACGGACTTGGGTTTATACTTGAGGGCTTCCATTCAAAGCAGGGCATTGATAAGGCTCTGCAGTGCAACTCCATGTAATTCCAGAGCTGCCACAATTGACTAAATGCAACCACGAGAGATGGACCAAGCGCCCAAAGCTCAGGTTTTATTAAATCCAACCAACCCCGACGGCCGACCCGCCTCTGATCTTCCACGGAAGGCAGGGGAGCTTCTCCCTCCCCCTGACCCGGCAGGGCAGTCACCACGGTGGAGAAAGGGGCAAGGGCTTTACTCTTTTGTGCTGCTCGAACACATCCGAAACTTTGTTCATTCTGCAACAGTCAGCTACACCTGCAATCGGCACATGACAGCCGTACTCTCATCTCTGCAGGCAAACACACGGCACCTCGTGGTAGTGCACGTGGTGGTGGATGTGGCGGTGCACGATGCGCTGCACGGCAGGGCGACATGATAGCACAAGAGTATATGCTCACGGCACGGATGCCAACACAGTGAATCACTTCGGCCAGCCTCTGACAAAGAGGACCCGAACGCCTAAATCGCTCCCATACAGAGCCCTGCCTGGGAATTTCCTTGGGCTGCAGTTGCAGGGTTCAGGGATTTTAGCTTCCGTGGTGAAAGGTAGACGGATGCTTTACGGTTTAGGATTCACGGGTTAGGCTCTCAGCATCAGAACTGGAGCTACCTCTTCGACAAGGAAATGCTACAGTGGCCTGCGCCGGTGTCTGCCCGACGCCGGGCCCCGGCGCATGTGTGGGATAGGCCATCTGCTCCTTACCCGACTGCTTCTGAAGGTGGATCCTCAGCGAGAGCGGGTTTGGAGGTATGTGTGTGTTCTGGGCCGTGGGGTCAAGGCAGGGCAGTACTGTAATAAGCCGTACATACGCAGATGTAGTGTATGCGTAGACTGCAACCAAGAATATTATCCGGTTCAGTCCCGGTCTTAGTTGCAGAGTTGACAAAACTGACCTGGCACTTGGATTGATGTCGGTCTGTGGAACAACATAGTTATGGCTTCGGGGGCTCAGTGGTTGAATTGAATCTAATGTTGGGCCATCACGTCACGTCGTTCAGGGGTGATCCCGACAAGTCGTCCGG